TGTCCTGGATGTTTGGAGAAATCCTCAGAGTCCTTTTAAACTCATATAAAAGTGTTTACTGTTCATTTTCAAGAAGTGTGTGGAAAAAAAGGCGAGGGAGAGAGACATGGCCCTGGAGGGATAGCAGGCACTGTTGGTCTTGTGCCATGACGGATAAATTTGAGGCTTTATAGAAGCGGTATTGATTGAACAAAGGTGCTACATGAGTGTGTGTCTGTGTGTGTGGTTCAAGTGTGCCACTTCTGCCCTGTTAAACAGGCAGTGCTGAGGGATACTGGGCACTCAGCTGCCATGGTGACTCGACTTGGACAAGTAACACTGACTGTGAACTCTTAAAAATATAGGTTCTAAAATGGGGTTCATGCAGTTATTTCATAGAACATCCATTTTGGGTTCTACAAAGAACCTTTAGTGAACAGAAAGATGCATATTTGCTTAGTGTAAAGAACAGTTTAATAATCTGAAGAACCTTTTTCACTAGAACATTTTGTGCAATGGATGTGAAAGGTTCTTAAAGGAATTACACATCCCTGCATCTTGAAAAATAAAATTTAGCTGATTTGCAAAAAAGTCGTAATATCACCTAATTTAACTATGTTGGTTTCAAAAACAACATGTTTTGGTTTTCATTTAAATTATATATTAGCTTTAATGCACTCATCAAAATAACAAAAGCAGTCAAATGTCAAAAATTTTAATGACAAAAAAAATAATAAAAATCCCCTTAATAAGACATGGGCTCCCCTGAAAACGTGATTTGTGAAATTTTTGGGGGTCTCAAAAAATATTGACAATGTGTTATTTTGACGTGCAATTTCAGTTTTGTGTAATGTGATCATCGTGGATTATTATGTGTAAAATTGCAAAAATATAATTCATTCATGCATGATGGCGATTTAAACCTAATTCACTTAAATAAAGATAACTATATATGCTATTCTTGTCATGAGCACCAAGGTGTGGGGGCGCTGCGGTGCAAATTCCACTCATGTTTAGTACGTTAACTCAAAGATTCGTAGAAAAAATATAAACGTTGGATTCTGTGGTCGATTCTGTGTTAAGGTAAGGCATGTTATTCGCAATTATGTGTTGTGGCTGGGTTGTTATAGATCTGCGTGACTCTCGATGTCTTAGGCCTAATTGAACGGAGTATGGTATTCTTCTGTAGCCTGACGACGAGTAACTTTACGTTAACCATTGTTCATGTGAACTCAAAGACAGCCTGATGCTTTGTTTATAGACTATTTGTGGGTGGCTGTTTGTTGTTTCACCTATCAATTTGTGTCGATAAAGTATAATAGGGTAAATCCTGTATAGTGATTTATCCTATAGTGCTTGCATAAAGCAAGTAGTGCATACACTTGTAGCTGTTATGTATCTTTGTAATTCATTGCAAGCCCTCTTTTGAGGCACGCGTAAGCGCACATGGTATAGTTCGAACACTGAGTGGAACAATATGTTCAAATACTCCATTTAATGCCAAGAACTTTACATAAACACAAGTTGATAAGTAAATAAGCATGTTTGCATTATTTTCTTTCTCTGGCCATAATTCTAACCTTGAAATCAGGATTAGGCATAAAATAATGTCTTCACAATCATTCATACATGTACAAATAGAATAGCAAATGAACAAAGTTGTAGCCTGGAAGATAGTAATCATGTCTTTGTTTTTCTGGTGATTAAGGAATAATACAAGACTTCTTCACTTTACAAATCTAGCGTAGCGTTAGCTCTGGCAGGTCACGTTAGTCAAGCTCGCATCAGCTGACTCTCAGCTGATCCCCATCAACCTATGGGAATACGACACCTATCTAAGCATTCATATATAAGGTCCCTCAGTATTATCAGCAGTTTTCACATTGCTCAATAGCTAATTACCCTCCTCCATCCCCAACTCCTCCTCTGTCAGTCAGGATTCAGCCTTCTGATTCTCCTTTGATTCAGACTAATTCTAAAATGTGTACATAACATTATTGAACTTTAACTATATCTGCAATACATTGATGTTGGTTCTGTTCTGTTAACCCGGGGGGGATATCGCTGCTCTCCCTGCTCTCATCCATGCTAGGCTGCATGAATGCGCAGGGAGTTCTTGCCAAGAACAGAACCATACCGCCAATCCAAACTGTATGCTAATTGTCAATCATCTTTGACGATAGTGGTCCTGACAGAAATGAATGTCAAAAGCAAAAATTGCTACATATTTTGTGAAAATGCTAGTGAAAAACAGGCACTATTTTTGGAATCAGCACCCAAAATTAGTAAGAAACAAGCATTGGATCTCATTCAGCAAATATGATGCACAGATTATGAGAGTCTGTATGTTAAATGCATCTTTTTTATAACTTGTTCGATATGTCAGGCTTATTGAACCCTTGAAGACGTTGTTACATAACAGTTTAAGTGGGGGTGGGCGCAATCAAATCGTCCTGCCATTATATCAGACCATCAAGAGTGTCAAATGGAGAGCAGAAGCACTCCTCGCACTAACCAGGCATACTGTGCGAGCGAGCGAGCTTACATCCGGCAAGAAAAAAGTGGTATAAAAATGGCAGAAGTGCCATGCTATTACACGCTACAGTGTACATGGTAATGAGATAGTTGTGTGCTGCCATTTAAGACATTGACGGCTGTACAGTGTGCACTTAGAGAACCTCATCTGACAGGGAGAAGAAGAAAATGAAAAAATATGATCAAATTAAGTCTTTTAACATTTCGGGGGGAAAAAATTTACCCAACGGCTTGTGTCAAAGCAGAGACTAACTAATTATTTCCAGTGACAGAGCCCGTAATGAACCAGCTGCTGTTCAGGTCAGCACACGGGCTGATATTCCCCATATTCCCATATCACTGTTTACTGTCCTAACGGCTTCCAGGTCAGTGAACTGGACACTGAGATACATGCCCTGTCTGTGGCATATGAGGACCCATTCACCAGACTGTTTTAATATGAGAGCATCAGCATAATCCTGCAAGGTACACTGGATAATCAAGGCTCTCAAGAGAACGTCGGAGCTGTGAGAGGATGCATAACCTTGATGTGAAGATATTAAAGTAGTTGATGGAGCAATTAAGAGATGCGGCTAATGATCTTCATCAAGGCTATTCAGCCTACTCGCAATAGTGAGGAATTTTCCAAACTGCTAAAGGGAGATTCCCCGCTGTCTGGTAATTTGGCAGCCGATCCACCTTAGACCTTTCTGGAGTGCAACAAAGCATGTGCCTTATTGCCACTGTGTATTGTAAAGCTAAAAAAAGAATGTAGATATATATAATGCTTGGGGGAGGCTAAATTCGTAGTAATTAGTTGTGTTTTTAGCAGCAGATCACCTAGATGTGAGGCTATTCAGCCTACTCGCAATAGTGAGGAATTTTCCAAACTGCTAAAGGGAGATTCCCCGCTGTCTGGTAACTTGGCAGCCGATCCACCTTAGACCTTTCTGGAGTGCAACAAAGCATGTGCCTTATTGCCACTGTGTATTGTAAAGCTAAAAAAAGAATGTAGATATATATAATGCATGGGGGAGGCTAAATTCGTAGTAATTAGTTGTGTTTTTAGCAGCAGATCACCTAGATGTGAAAAAATCCCTCTGGTTTACCAGCAGTTTCATACTTAATTTTCTCCTTATCTAACACACTGCTAAACTCCAATAGCCATTGCTCACAGTTTTGCTCAAATTCTTTGTTCCCTACCGCATTGATTTCTAGATTACCCGAACTTTCATTCTTATTGATGCTTCAAATCAAAGCAGCACAGAGAAAAGCCATAAAAAACAAGATGAGATACATTTCTGAGTTACATTTGAAAAATGTAAAAAAAAACTTTAAATAACTTGAGTATAAGACTACTCTCAACCAGCCACTGGACCGTATGAAATGGCTCTATAAAGTAAGAACACATCTAAACAGAACATGCAACAATATATTGTGTAAAATGTGCACTTTATCATATGACTATGGTAAGACAGCACCTTCTGGAGAACCTGTGAATGCAAGAAGTTGCAGCATAGCATCCTACATCAGGTAGAGAATGAACAATGATGCTTGCCTGGCTCCATCGTCATTCCCACCTTAAACATGCTCTCCACATTATGCCCCTGGAACAGCTGCTAACCAGATGTAATGGCAAGGACATCTGTCAAATTCTGCCACTTTAAAAAAACAGAACTTGTAGTTGCTCAGTTTTCATCTTTTTTTGGAATGGGGGTCATAAATGCTAGGAAACTAGAGTAATGAACATTTGAATGAAAAGTTCTTCCACTTTATGGCTGTTACTCATGAGCTGTTGTAATTCCTGAGCGTATAGTGTATTACTTAGCATTTGACTGACTTTTTGTCCATGCGGAATGTATAATAAAGATTTGTTACATGAATGTCTGTTTTGGATTGAATCCTACTCTTGCTATGTATGTACTGTAAGTGCTAAGAGCTCCTGTTAACCATAAATAAATCCCTGGCCATTACAGCTTTTCTGATTCTGATTCATCCTGACTTTCCACTGACAAATAGCACACCATCTGAACCTTATGATCAAAATGTCACTCTAACAGTGAGAGATGTGATTCATAAAATGGCATAAATGTCATGACCGCACAGAAAATGTTGTTCTGGCGTGGTGTACTGTGGTATGTGAGGGTGTGTTTAGCTGATACTCGACCTAATTTTCGCGCGTCAAGTCTTTGGTTATCGCATCGCGGTTATTTGGCGACCCCTAGCGAGCGCTGTGCGAATAACTTCAACTCGATTCGCAATCTTGTTAATTACGAGCCCTCTAGTTATTCATACAAACCAGCATCACTTAAAACGTTTCCTCGGGAACATTACCAACGCAAAGCTGTGAGGTTTAAGTAAGACGTCGCGTTCAAAACAAGAGAAGTGAAAACAGCATGACGCGCATCAACTTGCCACAAAACTCTTCACAGATGACAGGATTTTGGCAATGTTCGTTTAATGCATTCAGCCCTTAGCTGAGAGATCTCAAAAGGGATATTTATTACCTGCGTGTGACACACCGTTTCAGCCACATTTTTCCAGACAACAATTCCGAATCAGTCCTCTTGGTATTCGTCCATTTATGCGTTCCAACAAACGTCGACGCTAGAGCGTAATGGTCACCTTAAGTTAGACACCTTACTCCAAATGTTACGGATGCTAGCATTCTAATGTTATATATCCCGAGAAACCGAAAGCTTGAAATAGCTCCACGTCTCTCCAGAGCGCACCAAACGAGGACTGGGCGAAATATTCACGAAAAACAAGGACGCGTCTTGTCCCCTTTTTTAGTTGCTCGCCGTTTTTCTCCTCAGAAGTGCGCACGGATGTGCAGAGCGACCCAGCTGCAGCGTGGGCAGCTGGACGGTTCAGTCGCTTCTCAACAGCCGCCTTCTTTTACATTCACAAGTTCGTCTTGATTATACTCCACTGGAAAAAAAAAAAAAGTCAAGAAGCTATGGGAACCAGACGGCAAGGTGACAGCGTCAACATCGCCCGTGCGCTGCGCTCGCGGTCACCGCGCACTTTCTCTACATTGTTATGAGACCGAGCGCAGGCAAAAACGCAAGCTAAAACATCGAGATTTCCGTGGCGCAAAACCATGTCCTACATCGGCTGAAGAAGCTCTTCGATAGTTCTCGCAATCTTTTTACAGCTCAGATAAATTAGTGACGCGAGAAAAAAACAAACAAGAAGAGTGAGGAATGAAACATCACTTCACGGACGCGCGTGATGAGTGGAGCGCGTGAAAGCGACTCTCGTCATTTGGATAGATAGATAGATAGTGTTATCACCACTGTGCGCGCTATCCACCCTCACTGCTTCTCTTTCTCTCTCTCCCTCTCTCTCTTGCTCTCTCACATACTCTCTCTCTCTCTCCTTTCCTCCTCCGTCTGACTAACAGCCTGCCAGTCCTGCTTTAGCTGACAAACCCGTGACGTCATTTTAAAGTAAAATATGTAACATTTTAGACATCCTTCCCCCTTTTTCCCTCAGAGGAGTTCATCCGAACCCAATTCTATCTCAATCTCTGCTCGCCGAGATAAATCAGTCTGCATATGGGCTATAAAAAAAGCTCAACCAGTGTACAGCACTTTCCACTGAGGGGGAGATCAGTTTCTCATCCCAAGGTTAATACAGTGTCTAGTGGGTTTACTGAAGCAGTAGAGCCATATCCTGCAAATTACATGAGAGCGTAATGCCACATTTTTCTTCCTTGTGAAACAGAGAAACTCTTTTTTTGTTGTTAAGATGATTGATCTTCCACTCCAATTTACCATATAGGAAGAAGAAAGAGACAGCAGTGGCGTTGAATGATGTTAAATTCCTGTTTATTTCACAGGAATGGCTTTAGCCGGCTGAAAAGGAATAAAAACTCTGTCTGTAGTCTGTCAGGCAGTGGGAAAGCTCATTAAGCCGGTGCGTTTGAGAGAAGGGCTTTGTGAAAACAGCTCTGATGAAGAAAATACATTCCTGGAAAACGCTAGCGTGTGTAGAGGTTATGAAGTGTCGCATTTTGCCTTCATTGTGGGGACCAAACAGTCCCCACATGGATAGTTAAACCTATCACAAACATTGTGGTGACCAGCTAACGGTCCCCATGAGAAAACGGCTTAATAAACACAATAAATAATGTCTTCATAAAAATCAAAAAATACCAAAAGGTTTGCTCAAGGGTTACGCCTGAGGCTAAGGGAAAGAAAATATAATTAGCACACTATAAAAACAATAGAATAACATCAACATAATAGCAGGCTTATATGCGTATCGCTTTCTACAGCAGATAAGCAGAGTTTAAAAGACGTATTTCCTGAACGCAAGGCCTGGAAGGTTTACAACATCTGTGATCATCTAGGGCTGCTGTTTTAAATTGTGCCAGTATAAATGGGGTGTGTGTGGAAACAGAAAATGAAGAGATAAATAAGCGTCCTTAAAGAGCAGTACGGCATATAAAATCCAGCCTTAACAGCAAATGTTCAGCAGCTTCCAGCAGCTCGGCATTTTATCGGCATTACTGGAAATGCATTTTGGAGAAGCTACATTTCTTAGCATCTGAAAAGAGGTAATTTATGCACTTAGAGATCTTATACCTGATATATTGGGGGGGAAAGGATAAATTTGTTGTTTAATCTGTCAAATCAATGCATTTAACCATATATTGCATGTATTGTTTAACACTTTTATGTGTTCAATTCATGCTGAAAAAGAAACAAAATCACACAAATTGAGAATCTTTACTCTGTGTGTGGAACGCTACCAGACTGACAGTCATTTCACTTGCTGTACAGCATGAAATCCTAGCAGTTCTTAGAAAACAGTTGTGCAGTTTTGCTGAGTGAGTTATTCATAACGTTCTGTATGTATCAGGCTGGGTATTTACTCACAGAGGATTACTATGTAATCCTTACACTGATGATTTAAGCCTCCAATGTAAAGGCCCTTAAATGCTGACTCAAAATAGTATTTGGTCAACGAAATTGACCACAGCCATTCCAGGTTCAATAACAATTTGGACACTTCGCTAAACTGCAGTAATTAGATAACTGTAATGAGTTAAACTGAGAAACTGAGGTCTTCTATGTCTTGCTTTAATTGAGCTATTACTTCAGCTTCAGACAATTGTATTATCATATGCAAATAAAGGGGAGATCAGTGTATTGTCTTTGTTAATTAGCCGAAACGCACTGCATTCATTTAGCTGCTTCTGATTTGAAAGGCAGAGGGTCAAGACCAAGAGTTAGTCTGAGTTAGTGTATATTGTCAGGAAGGTCAAAGGTTAGGGCGTCGACATGGGAATTCTTTGTCTTGAATTTTAAGCACAGGTTATGCTAATGAATGAAAGTTTAGTGGATTCTTTTATTTTAAACCTGCAGCTGCAGGATTTTTCAGCTTTAGATGTTTTATGATGATTAGATTTTTCAAAACAGGCCTAGAAAGAGATTGCAGATATTGAATCACTGTTCTCTGCACTGTCCATAGGAGCCCAATGTGATTTACACAACTAAGACATGTTGATGGGATCAACATTCTGTCAATCAAATCTCTTACCCTAGTCGGTCCGCCCACAATACATACGCTGACCGCCTGAGGCATATTGCAAAACAGACAAGTCAATCTAATTCTATACTTCTATGCAATTTTCAACAGTCTGTGCAGTAGTCCATCTGGAAATAAAGTTGAGGGAGGTACAAGGTTGATTCAGTAAGTGCTTTGCTGTTCATGTGGGCTAGACAGACCTAGCCTGCAGGTGTGTCTTGGCCAGAATAATCTGCAAGGTTGTTTATTCACAGCAAAATCCCCAGAGTTAAATCAACTCTGCTCAGAGTACATATTGTCCCAATCTACAGAGTGTTAAAGTAACACTGAAGCAGAGTTACCACTGTTGAGGATTATGTGATATGTTTTCATGTCTAAAAGCCTGAGCAGTAGTTGTTCATCTTCAACATTGTTAACAGCGGGTTTTCTTTAATAATGCTCACTCATCAATTAATTAATTGCTTAATTATCCCATTAACTTTAACTCGGCTTCAGTGTTACTTTAACACTCTGTAGATTGGGACAATATGTACTCTGAGCAGAGTTGATTTAACTCTGGGGATTTTGCTGTGCATGTCCTAATTGTGTAAAGCATGTTAAGCATCCACAGATGATGGTTTTAACCCAAAACCAAACAGCTATTCAATATTCTCAATTTTCAGCCTTTATGTTTTTACCTCAGTACCACCAACCTATCTGATCCTATGCCCCATAATCCTAAATCATCATTCACTGTGACCAAAAGGCCAAAGCTGACTTCATTCAGAATCAGAAATTCACTGTTGATACTCTCAGTGTCTCAAATATCTCTCAAATACACTGAAAACCATTATTTTCTACTTTAAAACTCACTCCATCCAGAAAGTCTGGTTTTGAAAGAAGTCTCTTATTCTCATCAGGGCTGCATATATTTGATTAAAATACAATAAAAACAGTAATATCGTGAAATATTTTTAGAATTTAAAATAACTGATTTCTGTTTTAATATATTTGAAGGCAAAGCTGAATTTAGGCAGCCATGTCGCTAGTTTTCGCCAGTGTCACATGATCCTTCAGAAATCATTCTTATATGCTGATTTGGTGCTCAAAAAAAATCCTTTGTTGAAAACACCACAATATTTTGGTGAAAATTTTGACAATTTAAAATTGGGCCTTTTATTTAGATTGGATGCATGTTCAGTTTATAGGCTATATTACAAAATATAGATACAAATACAGATCAGTTTGTCATTGGATCAGATACAAATTCATATACACATAATGGCTTCACTTAAACATTACATAGGTTTTAGATTCAGTTGACTAGTAGCACCTAGTTAGCATATGCCAGACCTCAGTTCCTTAACTGTCAGTTCATTAATGAGATACTCAATGCATCAAGGCATGTTTAGATTTTGAGGAGTTAATCAATGCTCTATATTTAGAACTGTAAAACGACATGATGATTTATTGATCCTTCTCCTGAACCCGCACACAGTTAATTTAGTAGAGGAACGCCTTGAAACCAACATAATATTTGGCCAGGGTCAAATCAATATTCGGGTACAATATGACAATCCTTTTTTTCAAAAGGTATAGGAGTAAGTAGAACACTTATAATTCAAAGACAAAGTCCCTGGTCATTCCTCTTTATTGAAAACACGAGCTGTATTACTTTTTATTTCTATAACTAACAATTTTTTCGTTCATGCAACAGAACAGTGAGCCTTGGATCTTTCAAGGAATGCTCTGCTTTATGTGCTCAATATTCTCAATATTCACAGCTGTTAATAACCCCTTGAAAGGTGGAATAATTGCAAATCACTTTGAACACAACATGAGACACAAATAGCTGCCACAACAATAAGACAGTGGCCATGACAACCGGACTGAAGAGAGGACATCTCCTCTATCTGATAGTGAAACATTGGAGATGAGAAAAACAAGAGGGCCTATTACAGCACAATGAGCTGAGAGACCAAGATAGTTAACAGGACAATGGGTACCCAAAAGGGCTTATTTGCTAGTTTTAATCATTACTCTGGCAGTCCATAAAACTCTTTTAAGTTTAGGGTTGATAGATTGGTCTCCAGAAAGTACTAGAATGTTCCCAATGATGATGCTGGAGATACTAGACCTACTAGACTTTAAAGGGATCCCTTGTGAAAAAGAAGTATGTTTTAGCATACTTTTAAGAAGAGAACTTAATCCGGAAATAATATACTTTAAAAGAATATGCTTACTGGATGTATTGCTTAGTTAATTAGTTCAAATGTATATTAAATTGCAAGAGTGCTTTTTTGACCCACTTAAGAACTTTATATGTAATTTCATAATTATGTTGTCTTTGAAACATGGTTAAAGTTTGCTGTCGAATGTTGGCAAGAATTTATGGTAAGCTATATACTTCTGTATCATTTCTATTAAAACTTGTATGTCATGTATTTAAATATATTTACGATGACACATTTGTAATGATGAAGTTGCAATTTAGTGAATTGAAAAATATCAACTTTAAATGTTTTATCAAATAACAATACAGTTAAAATCATAATCAAGTACGTTAAATGTGTTTTAGTATATTAGTCAATATATCAAAATAAGCGTATTTCTTTAAAGCATGACAAAAGATTACTAAAACATTTAAAACTTTCTTTTGACATTACAGTCCACTTTTTAAAAGTATACCTAAGTGGGTTAAGAAATTGTCATGGAAAATGTACTCTCTTTAAGTACACTTAAGTGGCTTTTAATTTGAAATTATATTAGCTATTAATATATTATATTTAAGTACACTACAAGTGCATATTCAATATAATTAAGCACACTTCTTGCCCACAAGGCATAGTTCATATAAAAAATGATAATTTACAGTAGCTATTATTTACTTACCATCATATTGT